CGCACGGAAACGGCGTAAATATAAACAAACACAGGTAGCCTAACTCAGTCACTACACCGTCTCTGTATGCGTGAACATGAACACATAAGAACACGCACATTACCCCCACGTGATCTAGTTTAATGAACTAACACAGGCACACGCGAGGACCTCATATGACTCATATCGTCACTCCAAACATGACATCATGGTGACATCATGGTGACATCATTTGTCAAACAGAGAGGGATTAACGGCCGACAGAGACGTATGTGCGGGTAGATAATCCGCAAAGAGAACAGCAGCAGACATATTTGTTGTGTGTGTTGCGCCACCATGCGTATAAACGTGGCCAACACACCGTTTAAAATGACATTAGTTTCATGGACGGAGAGCGGCTCCACTGCACACAGCTTGATGAGTTTGATGGGGTTACCATGGTGATCTAGAAAGAATGATAGGAGGTGCTCTTATGTCTTTTCTGATTGGTAAAGCGAGGAAAACTTAATGTCCTATTCTAACTGAATTAAAGCCTCTGCACCCACACAGGTGTTTTTAATTAGTCCGGTTGATTAGACCAGGACAGGTTGTAAGGTGGAGCTATGATGAGAATTTATGATGAGCACCAATAGGCCTAATTATAACAACAGGCCAACAGGTCCTCCTTTTCAAAGGGGTTCTACAAAATGAACAAAGCAGTGGAGCTGTCAGTCAAACAAATGTGTCTGCACTTCTTCAAGAAGAGGAACATCCGGTCTAGTCTCAATCACAAACACCTGTCAGGTATTAAATTCAAAGGATTTAACATTGTTCTTGTCAGATGTGGCGCTCATGTTGAACTGTTTTGCACATGAATTTCACAGAATGAATCTCCTGAGTATCTTTCCATTACAAACAATGTGTGGTAGGCCTAATAAACCTTAAACAGTGAGAACTACACACACCTAACCCACAGACTGTAGATCTGCACCTAACCAAAGGTGACACCTCAATATTAGCTTGTCTCATACCAAAACCAAAACTCTAAAATATTAAGACTGTAGTCCAATTAATGAGGTAGCCTTTTAAAAATTAATAGAAGCAAATCATATTTTTAAAGGGATCTGAAGTAGCCTAGGTTAGAAGTAGTCTAGGTTAGTACTAGCCTAGTTTAGAAGTAGCCTAGGTTAGAAGTAGCCTAGTTTAGAAGTAGCCTAGGTTAGAAGTCGCCTAGTTCAGAAGTAGTCTAGGTTAGAAGTAGCCTAGGTTAGAAATAGCCTAGGTTAGAAGTAGTCTAGGTTAGAAGTAGCCGAGTTTAGAAGTAGCCTAGGTTAGAAGTAGTCTAGGTTAGAAGTAGCCTAGTTTAGAAGTAGCCTAGATTAGTAGTAGTCTAGCTTAGTACTAGCCTAGTTTAGAAGTAGCCTAGGTTAGAAGTAGCCTAGTTTAGAAGTAGCAGAGTGTAGAAGTAGTCTAGTTTAGAAGTAGCCTAGGTTAGAAGTAGCCTAGTTTAGAAGTAGCCTAGTTTAGAAGTAGTCTAGATTAGAAGTAGCCTAGTTTAGAAGTAGCCTAGGTCAGAAGTAGTCTAGGTTAGAAGTAGCCTATAAAGTGTGCGGTGGACATATTTAACTAGGCTACAGTAGACAAAGGGTACAGAAAAAAAAATAATAATAATAATATATAATAATAATAATATATAATAATAATAATATAATAATAAATACTACTTTAACAGGTCTAATAGTAGTTAATTAACTAATAGGCTACAATGCAACAACTGTTGGGTTTCAGCTCCTCAAATAGTCTAGGTTAGCGTTAGGTTAGCTTTGGGTTAGCTTTGGGTTAGCTTTAGGTTAACTTTAGGTTAGCCTACTAAGGCTCCATGTTAGCTTAACTGTCTTTCACAAACTAGCCTTTACAAACTAATGCTAATGCTGGACTTTGTACTTCTAAGGATTTTTACAACAATTTTATGATATTGTTTTGACAGAATAATAAAGAACTGGTTAATTAATTATGAAATACTTTTCTGAATAGCCGACAAGTTCAACTTAATAAGCTAGCTAATTAAAACCGCATTAAAGAATGACGAGATTTAACCGTTAACATAAGTAAACTCAACAAATAACGTTTAGTATCGTTCAAAGTAAAAACCATTAGAAAAAGACTTACTGGGGTTGTCTAGAGAAAAGTTAGCATTAAAAGGTCAGCATTATTTCATGTTAGATGGCTGAGATGTGTTTCTTTTGCTCTTTTGAATTAAACTGCTCAAGTCTATTTCTCAACAGTAAATCAGTTTTTTAGATTAGAGCGTTGCTAGGCAACGAACATTAGTCTACCACTCACACGAGATTACCACAGGGCTAAAAAATGTGAAAGAAAAGTTAACAATTAAAAGTGAATACAGTAGATTTTGAAGGGAAAAAACAATCCTATACATTATTTTAATTTATTATTTAACTTTAAACACTACTGGATATCATTTCCATATTGGTAACTTTGGTCGGTCGGTGTCCCACTTGTTAATAAGTCATAAACAGTTTTGACCACAGACTAGGGTTCTTGCAGATATTAGAGGCAAAATATTGGAAACACTAAAGGTAAAATGTTACACTTGTTCTTACCTGCAGAGGCAGACGGTAGGTAATCACTGATCCGGTCGTGCATGGACATCTCAGTGTTTCTCAAACAAAGAGGTTGAACAGACTGGTTTGTCATCCGGGCGGTCTAAAATGATCATTTACTTAATAAAGTAGGCCTACATCCAATATATGTCCGCTTCTCATGTTCCTAAACATTTCACTGTATACTTAAATTCAAAGCAAGTCATTTAAAGATAATTTCAGGGCTCCCTGATCATCTCCTGGGAAAACCATCTTCATTTTAATAAAATGAGAAAGTATCCTGATAGTGAAATACCTACACTTGTTCATAATTCAATACTGACCTTTAGTGGCTCATTTGGGTAACACAACACATAAGAAAACATGCAAATCAATGAGAGGCTTCTGATTTTACAGGTTCTACATTTTTTTGGACAAGCAGATCAGAGACAGAATCTAGGACTTATATTAGATGTTTGCAGATATGGATACAACTGGGCTTTTTTTTTTACTCTGTGCAAAATGGAATAGTTTTGTTTGATTATGATTTATTGTCTGCAGTTGTAACTGGGGGAAGACTTTGAGAAATGTGATAATCGACCAAAATGTGATATTAATAACAGAATTAGACTCTTGGGAGTAAAAACATTAAATACATTAAGCTCAATTCCCTGGATTGACAACATTTATGTATTTCCAAACAAGGTAGCTTCATCACAACTGTCTCTACTTTCAGAGCCAAACACAAAACCCTGGGCATCCTGATAGTTACTGTGTGTGTGTCAGTGATATGACTTGCCATTGGTGGTATGTGCAGTATGTTTTTATTTGATGCTTGTTGGTGTTTGTTTGCCGTGCTGTGTCTCTGATGCATTGTATATAGGGGGAGGTGGGCATGTTATTTTGACTTGATTTCTGGATCTTCTTCATGCTTCTTGGAGTAAATGTTTGTTGTTTTATGTTCCTGTGTTTTTATCCTTGATGTCGAGCACACTGAGCTTCACTGTAACTTAAGTTATACTATAGTTCTAATAAACTTTACAGCCATTGAGACACACGAGGCAAACGTCACAACAGAGAGAGAGAGAGGGGTTTTTTATTATCAAAGTTTATCTAATTATATTCTGGTCATCTTTATTAACAATCACAACAATTCAAACGGCTGTAAATACAAAACAATCTGGTTGTAAAATGTAAAGTTTATGTCTCTGTTACGCTGCTGTGGCATGAAAAATAACCTTTTGACTTAAGGCAGATTGTTGGACGCAGTTACAAAAGAGATCACAGAGTGACGCCCACAACCTCAGACAGGTGTGATATATAATATATACATCATACACCGGCTGTATTAATGACCCGTAATGAAGACACAGGCCAAAGGTCGCCTGGTCACTGATGAGGTAAGCACTCTGTACAACAAACATCATGTTTGAAACCTTAAAGCGGCTGATAGAGAAATTATTGCAAGACTATGAAATATATTAAAACATTTGAAAATGTTTGAACTACTGGTTTTTATCAAAGTCAGATTTCACATGGACACTCTAACAAATCAAGCTACGTTAGAAGAAACAATCCCTGCAGAGTGTAATCACATAAATGTACTTTATGACAACTATTCCAATATTCTAGCTGGCCAAATTCATCAGCTGCTACAAACTCAAAGAGGTGACCATCACCACAGGCGAAGGATTCAACACTAACAGCTCAGCCGCTCTGTTCAGTTTTTACTGTGATTTAGATTTTTACTGAAAGCACACGAACATATGAAAGTTTTTCCAGATGTCTGAAAGGCTCGTTCTGTGCTTTCAGTCTTTTAGCCTTTCATTCTGTCCTGGAGGACAGGCAGACGCTAAAAGCCTCAATCACACAGAGAGCTCCTAACATTTCTCCCAAATATCTCTCAAAAGCTTTAAACCTCCTCGTTGAGATGCGCTAAAATAAATTAAAAGTAAAAAATAACTTAAATTACAAAACTGAAAAATCCAAACAAAAATAAAACCCTTCCACATCGAGGTTACCCTCAAAAATATTTTTGTGGGATTTCAGGGGTAATTATAATTAATATTAAAGGTAACATATGATGCAAAAAAAATATTATAAAACTAATGTGTCTCTAGTCCGTCTACAAATCCCCCAATGATGAGAAAAGTCCATCCTCTCCGTCTTTTTCCTGCTCCACTTTTCAGAAAATGTGTGCTCAAACAGTCCTTTTGGAGATTTCCCCTTCATGACATCACAAAGGGCAGTAGCCCCTCCCCCAGGTGGGTGACACTCCCACAGCTAGGTGTTTGTTCTGCCCTCTGAGTCTGCCTTCTCACCGTAAACAATAGGACATGGAGCGGGAAAGCACCGAGTACACCCAAGCCCTTCCAGAGAGGGGGCGTGGTCAGACACAGCTCATTTACATATTTAAAGGTACAGACACAGAAACAGCCTGTTCTGAGCAGGGCTGAAATAGAGGGGTTTATAGACATGATCAAATACAGGATCAGAGTGGATTTAGAACAAAAGACTTCACAGACATTTTGGGGAGCTCTTAGACTTATTTAAACTGGTTGGAGAGGAGGAAGATATGTCACCTTTAATGAAAACAACGGGCTCAAAATGAGCAAAGCAGCAGTGCATTGGATTGCACAGTTGCCGTTTAGACATTGTGCACATTAAGTATCTACTGCTTCCTAAAGAAGAGGGCAGTTCAATTCTTTAAAAGTTTTTACTTTTGATGATTTGAACGGTAAAACAGAAGTTTGTAAAATCTGGAGGCAAAGCAGAGATTAGGGTGGAGGAGGAGCCAATCAGATCCATGAGCAGACGTAAAGATCAAGTTTGAGAAAATATAAGTGGTTTCCAAAGTATTAAAGGCGCCCGGCTGTTTCTGTGCTTCCTTACTGACTTTATTGAAATATTTGCCCTTTAATCATGAAACTTTAGAGTTCAACACCTTAATCCACTCTCAGAGGAAGTAAATGGATTCAGTCTTACAAACAGCGCGTCTAGAGGATTCAAGAAAATCTAATATCACATCCAGGTGTTCATATTCTGCGCTTTAGATTTAACCTGAATGATTCATTGATGAGAACACAGGGGAACATATAATGAAAACTCCTCGACAGACGATCACGTTCCTCTGTTAGTCGAGAGGTCATGTGAGCTCAAGACTGTGAGAAAATGTTTTTGAGAACGTGAGAAACCTCTTCTGTCGAGCAGAGAAACAAATGTCAATCCTCCGACAGCCGAGTGAAGAGTCCGTTTATTCTCCTGAGCCCCATGAACTATGGGTAATCATTTATTTGCCGTCATTGTCGTCTCTCGTAAGTTCAGAACATAGAGAGTAAATCAGAGATATGTTTTGTCCTCCTCTGGGAAGCTTTAGTGCATAGCGGTGTATTCACAGTTTACTTGCCTGTTAAAGGAGAAATGATGGTTAAAAAGAAAAGTCCACGTTGGCTTTCGTTTTGACAGAAGAGAGACGATCATCTCATCCCGGGGTCAGGGGGACGAGCTGCTGCTGTAAGCCCGAAGCAACTGAGACAAGTCGTCATCTGAGGGCTCTGGATACACTAAAACATGAGGACACACACACGCACGCACACAGAAACACACACAGAAACACACACATGCATATATACTGTCAGTGCAAGGCTTCATATAAAGTCCTCAGTGTTTATCTGCAGCATTCTGAAGCTAAAGCTAAAAAACTGCAGTTCCTCCAGCGGCCGCTGGAGGCTTTCTCCAGTAGTGAGACTTCCTAACCTTACAGCAGAATGACACATTAACAGCCTGTTGTAAAGAAACTCAGTTCAGGTTCAGTTTTGAAAATATGACTGACTCATTCAGCTGTTCTTTGTGAGGCTTTGTTGCTTTAGTCACACCAGGCAATCCGTACCGTGGCTAAGCACGCGTCACCTTGAAAGTCCAGTTAGTTTGACTAGTGTGATCGCTCCGATCTGTGCTCAAGCTCGGTACACTTCCTCGGCCCTGGCTTGTGCTTGGGCACGGTACAGTTCATGCATGAGCACAAGCACACGACGTGGCCAGCCTTCATTGTCTGTATCTGACTAACATGACTCAACATAAGACTCAAAGTCAGTAAAGTATCTGTCATGATCTCTGGTGTTGTTCTCTGATGTGCAGACACAGACTCGACAGCGCGTCCCTTTTGTTTTCATTTGACTCCGTCTGTCATGTAAACTGAGCACGCATCATAACAACTTAAAGCCATGCATGTGCTGTGTTACGATGTTGATATGAGTGCAGACCAGCGGGTGGAATGAGGAGGGGGGGCAATCATGCTTAAGCACAGTGCGGGACAACTTTGCCTAGTGTGAGTGCACCCTTAGACTGCAGGCAACAAACATAAAGAAGCTATAGTCCTCTGCTGCATGTCACACCCCTCTCTGTCCTCCCCAACTTTCCTGTCTCTCTTGTCTTTTCAGCCGTCCAATCAATAAACAGAATTGGCCCCGGTAGTGTAATAAAACTAAAACATTTTTAGGATTAATTCTTGGGCTTTTATTCAACAGGACAGTGGACAGAGCAGGAAACCAGGTGGAGAGTATATATCAATATATACGGCCGGCCGAACTGTGAGGCCACCTGTGCTCCAAAGTACAATAATATTTATCAGCCATTCTTCAATGTGTGTTTGTTTTTGTTTACTGATACTCACACATGTTTTCAAAGTCAAAAGTCACGCTCGATCCTTCATCACTTCTGTATGAATGATCCGAGTCTTCAGAGTCGTCATCATCATTGTCATCACTGTTGTCGTTATCGCTGTTGCTGCCGAGAAGATCTGCAATCTGTGAAGACCAGTTTAAACAAACATTACTGCACATCACTCACAGCCAAAATAAACCAATTAAGACACTACAGGAAACATCTGGACATGAAAGTACACATCAATAAACGCTTCACGATCATCTAGATTATTGATTTTAGTAAAAACAACACAAACAAAGATCTAAAGATGAGGAAACGATGTCAGGAAAAGCAAACAACACACTGAGTTTTCTGCTGCTCAGCTGAAACTAAAGAACACGGCTGTGGTTTGTTTAATCACTTACCTCCTCGTCTGTGGGAGAGGGCGACTCGTCCCCGTCTTCTTCTGCGTTTTCATCATTCACCATTTCGTCTATGAGCCGGTCGGTGTCCAGATCGTCATCATCGTCATCATCATCGTCATCATCATCTGTGTCCGAGGAGTCATCGTCCTGGTCTTCATCCTGGAGGAGCATAAAATAGAGAAGAGCCAAACATTAATGAATTTAGAATTATTTGTTTATATTATTGTTAATTCTGGCTTATTTTGGTTTTACAATTTGTGAATTGATTTGGGGGCATTATTTTTCCCACTTGGGGGCGGAGCCGCGGCGTATCGGCAGTGAAATTTAAGTTGATTGAGGACACCTGGGGGGAGAGTGGGGAAGCAGGATATACATTATATAGCGATCTGATTTGTTTATTTTATTTTGTGAAGTTTAGTTTTTGCTGAGAAGTTTTCTATTAATAAATGTAGCTCATAAGTTGACTTTGGATCCGCGGTGGCCTTTTGTTTTTATTTGATAGCGTGTTAAACCCGTTCAGCAATGGCTTACCTAATTGATTTTGTTTGAAGCCATCACAATGTGCATAAAGAATAAAGAATAAACCACCTAGAGTTTTTTTTTCGGTTGTCTTTAATCAATAGAGAGCGTTGGCAGACGAAAGCGGCCGTCTGGAGAAACAGAGCAGCGTCTTTTTCCGAGCGCTCCGCTGTTTTTTGTGCGGCCGCTCCAAGAACTCAAGTTAAAAATCTGTGTTGCCAACTCATCACTGGAACGCAGTCAACTCAGATGTGAGGTCATTCCGAGCTCGGACATCTGACTTCAGAGGTCAGAGGTCAACAGAACAGAGACCTAACACCTGCAGCTCCATGCGTCTCACCTGATCGTCGTCGTCTCCCTCTTCTGCCAGCTTCTGTCGTCCCACCTCGTACAGACGACACACCGTGTCCAAGCTCACCGTGTCCTGATTCTACACAGACAGAGAGGAAACACCGACCATGTTGAAGAGTGTCTGTGGTTTCAAACGTGGCTCGTCCTCTTACATGATACAGACTAAACACAAAGATCTTTGAAGTGCTGATGGAGTACCTCGATGACAGCCAGGTAGCAGTCTTTGCTGTCTGTACACAAGTCAAAGATGTTCTTCTTCACATCCACGGTCGCTGAAAATCAAAGAACACAAAGTTAAAACTGAGGAAAAGTACTAAATCACTGAGCTCATTCAAACCAAATCAAATCCCCTCAGACTGGAGGAGTTCAAATCGATCACAAAAACGTTTCACAGTGGAGTTTACTGTTAAAAAAAGATGAAAAATAAAGCAACATGTGCCTCATTTAGGGAGTCTGTACATACAACTCTTCACTCAAACTAAAATGTACTGAAGTCAAACGATGAAGTCTGATACAAACAGGAAGTGCTCCTAACCAATTGGCTTGTAGTCCGTGGCGTCAAAGGTCCTGAAGGACGAGCCGAAGGGACTCTTGATCTGCTCGTCCATGGCGTCGTCCTCGTCGTCTGCCTGCAGCATCGCTGTGGGAGACAAACCAGGACATGAAGTGACTCACTGTGCGTCAGAGTCGTCTGTGTGTGTCAGTGATGTAAGGGATGAAAATAAGCAGCTCGTACCTCCATACATGATGGTGGCGTTGCTGTTGAAGACCAGTCTGCACTGGTCCAGAGCGGGGACGGTGTGAAGGAGGTGGAAGGTCCTCAGGTCCCACTGTAAACCGTCAAGGCCCACAATGACAGAACAACATGGAAATATCCAAACCGCTCCCTTCACCTCTTTATCTTACAGTTAAAATGAAAATCACAACTATTGTTCATTTCCATTCAATAATCATGACTAACGACGACGTGGGACGAGTTGTTTCCATTAAATCAGGAGTTGAGGTTAAAGGGTTAATATGTGATTTTTCACTCTTAAATATACTAGAAATCAAGTATATCCTGTGAAAATAACTCTGTGAGTCATGACTGTCTACAATGAGTGTAACACCTGAGTCCCACTGTCTGTGATGTTTTCAGAGTTTTCAGAGTCCTATCTTCAGTTTGTTTACATCGCCCGGACGGCCGGCTGACTCCTCCCCTCGTGTATAAAAGTTGTTTAATTGAGGGACTAGAGAAAAGAAGAATAACATACTGTACTCACTGCTTAACTGTGTTTCTAGATCACGCTCATTTCAGGTAAATTTACATGCAGTGTGAAGATACCAGCATAATAAAGATCGCTAGCATTAGCATGCTAACACAACAATGCACCGCAAGTTGTTTTGGTTTCATGCTGGAGCTCAAGGGCGACATCTGCTGGATCAAAAAATCACATATAAAGCCTTTAATATGAATAAAGAAACAGATGTATCAGTGTTATTCTACTCTACAGCACAGACAGGGAGCTGGAGTCCAGAGACAAAAGAGTTCCTGAAGTAATTACAGATTACACTCGCGACTGCACGAGATAATGCGATGTATGTTGTATAAAACTGACTTCCTGTCCCGCTTGATCTGCTCGGTGGTAAATTGATGCATCTGGCATCCGGCTAGAAATTAAGACCTGCGTATCTGCTGCAGAGGACTCCGGACTGATGGAGCTCAGCAGAGCCAGTGGAAGCACACACATTCAGCTTGAGACGCGTCTGCTGGAATTTAGGGGCAAGTGAAATTATAAAGACCCAACGTGTGTTTTTAAAAGTCTCAACATGACAGCCTTAACAAAACAAGCTGCCGAAGAATTCATATAAAAAGTATCAGGATCAAAGGATACGATCTCTGTGTTGACGATGACCTCCAGGCCGTTGGGATGGAAAACCCCGCTGATGTTCATGTTGAACTTGTCAAACTTGTGGATGGCCATAGACGCCCGCACGTCCCACAGCACGCCGTCGTTCAGCACCAGGTCGTCCGTGGGGCTGAAGGTGGCACAGTTCCTCTTGTAGTTATTGGCCAGGGCGGGGTCGTTCAGGGTGAGTGTCTTCTGACCCGTCTGGATGTCATAGATCTGAAACATCGTCATAAGGAAAGATCAGAGAAGAACGTGGGACTGTTTTGTATTTAACAGAACGGAGAAATCAAGAGAATAAAAAGATGTGCTGAGTGGGGGAACATACGTGTGCGACTTGGTCCTTGGTGCCGATGACTCTGTCCTGAGAGAGTTTACTGAACTCCACGTAGTGATCGTCTACAAACGAGTGCCTGAGAGAGAAACCAAAGTCTTTAACATGTCACAGCTCATAACGTCCAACACTGTGACTGTGAGAGAGAGAGTTTTACTTTCTGCTGAAGACGCTGTCCACACTCCACAGAGCAGACAGAGGTTCACTCCAAGGAGCCGAGGTGAGGAGCAACTTTCCATCCTGGAAAAACACAAAAAGGATTTAATAAACTTCTTTTTACTTGGATGAGGGTATTTTATTTTACTGAAATAAGTATTAAGTAATAAGTAGGATGTCTACTGTCCTTACTATATCTTCAGACATTAAGTGCCTTCTCTTTCAACAGTGCAGCACCCAATACGTCCTCCTGACATCGGGACTTTCAGATAGAACGCGGTAAGCTCTGCATGCTGCTCTTAAACTCATTCATTGTCTATGTGTTGCACAGCGCAGGGTCACACCTGCTGAAGTTAAAAATGTGTACAATCACTTCTATCTGAACCACTTCTCTTGACCGCTTCCATCGCTGCAACACCTGTTGACCTGATAACTGCTCTCATATCTGGCAAACCGAGGGGCGTCCAAAACGGCCGTGTGGGGGGGGTGTCTTAAAAGCGCCTACCTTCTCTGGTCCAAACAAATCCAGAGCATTCAGGAGCAGAATCTAAAGTTAGAAGGAGGACATACTGGCTGCTGCATTGTTGTCAGAGAAGCCAGCACTTCAACATAGCATGTTTCCTTAATGATCAGAGAGTAAGATACCTTTATCATCTCACTCTCTACACAGCTCACTGATTGATCCTTTAAGTAAAGACATGCTATTTGCAAGTTGGGAGGTCTCAGGAAAATATCTGGAACTTTAAGTGCAAAAGTCTCTTTTTCTCAATGCCATAAGAGTTCTCGCTGTACAGAAACAAGCAGAATGATTGTGAACGTCCCTAAAAAGCTCCATGAAGACACAAGGAGCCCTTTAAATATTCACATTTAAAACATTGAAAGCTAACGTCCTTCAAATATCGATGTTTGTTAATCATAATCTTAAAAGAGGCTAATGTGTTTTAATAAGAAGGCCAAATCACTTGATATTATTCTATTTGCTCACAACTTGTCACCCATCGCCCCACAGGCGTTATATAATGTGTGTGTGTGTGTGTGTGTGTGTGTGTGTGTGTGTG